ACCCATAAGAATGGACTTTCACCAATTAACTCAATCAAAAGGTGTTTTCTTTATTTATTTTTGGGCCATTTACATACAAGTCCCATTTTGTGAACTTATAATCCATTAAGTCCTAGATAAAATTATGTGCTCCTTCAAGTCCCATTAATTTTTAATAGACCAATTTACCATTCCCTCTCCCTTCCTCGACTCAAGTCCTAGATAGATGGCACCGAAGGCTTGGGGGAGGACGAGGAGGCCGAGGGCTTCAGAGGGGTCGTGGAGGAGGAATCGAGAGCGGTAGGAGAGATCGGAGTCGTTGGATTTGGGGGAGTGCTTCGAGAGGAGCCCAGGGAAGTAAGACGCCGCCACGGGGTCGTCGAAGAGGTCTTCGCCGCCAATCAGATCGAGGTGTTTCCACGTGGAATGACGGTCTGGATAGCCTCATTACCCTGAAGGCCAGCGAGTGCGCCACCTGCGTACTGCTCATCTCTCTCTCTCTCTCTCTCTCTGCTTCGAATGCTATTTGAATTGAATTGAAACTATATATACATACAGAGAGCTCTCTCTCTCTCTCTCTCTCTCACTGTTTTCACATAGACGTCAATTGGGGTTTCAAGAATTTCCAAATTAGCCTAGTTTGGTTTGATTTAAAAATAATTTTAATTTTTTGGCTGGAACATTGCTCCTGCGGATCATAGATGGAACCAACATAGATGCCACTGCCATTAGAGACAGAGAGAGAGAGAGAGAGAGAGAGAGAGAGAGAGAGAGAGAGAGAGAGAGAGAGTTTTTTGAAATTGAGAACCTTCTCAGTTTATAATATTCTCAATTTTAAAATTTCTCAAAATTGATAATTATAAATTTCTTAGTTTTGATAGTTTTGATAATATTTTCAGTTCATACTAGAAAAAAAATTGAGAAATTTCTTAGTTTTGATAATTATAAATTGAAAACATTCTCAGTTTTGAAATTGAGAACATTCTTAATTTTGGGTTTAAAGAGAAAAACGTCTTTTTACATGTAAATGGGACTTATTGGTTCAAAAACGTTTTGACAGGACCTAAGCTACCACAAAATATGTAGATAGGACTTTTAGGTAATTAATCCTTTATTTTTTAATTTATTTTTTTTATATTTTGTCAATTGCTAAGAGTTAACAAATATAAGATAATTATCTAGAGTCCAAACACAATACAACACATACCTAATATCGAATACCCCAACAACGAACCCAACAAATAGCCTTTTGATTGAAAGAAATCAATAATACAACAACAACGCAACATAGGTGGCTAAATACGATGGTATTTGATAAAATTGAAAATTGAAAATTAACTATTAACTATTAAATGTTGAATTTTTTAAGTTAAAAAATTATTTGATAAAAATTTCAGTGCTGAGCTAAAAATAAATTGTTTAATATATATAAGTTCAAATTTAAAAATTATTATTTTCAAATTGTATATCTCAAATTTTATATTGTGATGGTGGTGTGATAAAATTGAAAATTGAAAATTGAAAATTAACTATTAAAAATTAAATGTTGAATTTTTTAAGCTAAAAAATTATTTGATAAAAATTTCAGTGCTGAGCTAAAAATAAATTGTTTAATATATATAAGTTCAAATTTAAAAATTATTATTTTCAAATTGTATATCTCAAATTTTATATTGTGATGGCGGTGGTAGCGGCGATGGTCGCATAGTGGTGATGGCGATAGCGATGGTAGTGGCAGTAAAATAATGGTAATTCTTATGGCAACAATGACAATGGTGATAAAGGTGGTGGTTGTAGTGGTGATTATAGCGATCCCGGGTTTACCCTTGTTGTATAGTGATCCGGACATGTGTCCGTGGATGTTGGTAGTTGGTTACTATCGTGTTTACATTAGTAGTGACCGTGACGTGGTGGTGGTGACGGCGGCGACGACGACGATAACGATGGTGGTGGTGGTGGTAGTGGTTGTGGCGGCGGCGGTAGCAATGGTAATGGTGGTAATGGCAGCGATAGTGGTAGCAGTAGCATGATGGTGGTGTTTGTGGAGGCAGTAGTGGTGGTGGGTTTATAATAGTGTATATTAATGCTTATGTACAATAGTTATAAATTTAGTTAGAATTAAGTAAGTTTCATATAATTTCAATTTTTTTTAAAGTTTTAGCATTTATTTTAAGAGACTTTAATTTTTAAGTGATATCAATTATAACTATCAAACGAGTTTGATTGATTATCACTTAATATATTTAATTTTAAGTGCTGAATGAGGTTACCAAATGAGATAATTGTTGAAAAGTCCAAACTAATGAGGGTATAAGGCATTAGGTTCAATGGATATTTTTGTTGGTGAGAGGTCCACTCTTTGTGAAATAGTTTGGTGGGAAGGTATTTTGTTTGTTTTGAAGAACATTTTGTTTCCAATTTTACCCATTAATTTATCTGTTGACTTTCATTGACTATTTGTTCAAATTTTTTTCTTATTTGTTCAAAACTTTTTTCCTATCTGTTCAAATTTATATCAATCTATTTAAATTTTTTCCATCTGTCCAAAATATTTGTGTAAATTTTTTCTCTGTCCAAATTTTTTATGTGTAAATTTTCTATCTATTCAAATGTTCTTATATGTTCAATTTTTTTCTTGAAATTCTTTTATATGTTCAATTTTTTTCTTGAAATTCTTTTATCTGTTCAATTTTTTTAAAATTTTTTTTTTAATCTTTTGAAATACGAAGCCAAACTAAATCACCAAACCCTATTTGTTCAATTTTTTCTCTTCTACCTATTCAAATCTCTCTTCTTTCTATTTGTTCGTCTCTCTCTCTCTCTCCCTATCTGTTACAATCTGTCTTATTTTCATCAACATCAACACAAGAACAAAAATAAATAAATTATCTATTGCAATTTGTTTCTTCATCATCATCATCAAAAACAACAACACAAAAATAATCTTTGTCCAAAGCCTAACCTAAATTGGAAAAAGGAAAATAATAAATAAAGATTAACAATAACCAGAATTTTATCTGTACAAATTTAAAGATTCCCAATCTCATTCTTTTATCCCTTTTGAGGTTTTCTCAGCAACCAAACAACACCAAAAAAATCTAAAAATCAAGAATTTCATAGTACTTTGTGTTCTTCAGTGCTCTCCCAAGCATCTTCGATGATAATCGATCTATACAAAACAAAGAACAAAAAAGATCGATCAAACCCTCGAAGATCAAGATCCATACAAATCGATACACATAGATATATGAATATAGATATTTTAGAGAGAGAAAACAAATAAATGATCAGAGAATTTGTGTGTGGACTTGGTGTTCAATGACAGAGAGAGGGTTTACTTGCTTTTGGAGTCAAATCTGGCAAGTTTAATATAGGTATGGAACATATATGAGAAACTGCTATTTGGAAAGACAAGGATCAAGAGTGGAATGAGGAACGACGACAGTGGTGGCAGGTTTCCAGAGGATAGTGGCGGTTCAGATAGAGATTGGAGGCGCAATGCCATAACTAAACATGCAGTGGAATCTCAGAGACAGATTTGTTAGCCTTTGCGGTAAATCCATCTTCAAAAACTAAATCCATCTTCATCACTGACTCTTGAATCCTCCGTCGTCGACAGTGACATCTACCACACACCGCAGCCTACAGCACTACTACATTGATTTGAAGAAATGATGAGAGAGAGAGAGATGAGTGGTGAGGGTCTGGCGAACTGGATAGAGAGAAAAGAGAAGAGAGAGAGAGAGGTAAAGATGACAGGGAGGGAAAGGAGTGGTTAGGGTTTGGTTTGGTGTGGTTACAAAATATATATATATAGGTAGTTTGGTCATTTTCGTGGAACTTGTCCTTATAGACATAATGTTTCAGAGAGTGGACCTTTGAGCAAAGAACATCTTAATTTAGATTTAAGGACCAGGTGCCTGTTATCAAACACCCTCTAAGTTATAAACTGAATTGAAATAGTTAATTATTTGAAAATAATGAATGTTTTAGTGACTCGGGTGTTATTAGTACAGAGAAGAGTGTCGATTATGGAAGTGTGTGAGACTTGTGACGAAACTCCCAAAACACTGATACATTGCTTGCGAGATTGTGTTTTTGTGTAATAAGTAGGTAATTGATTTAGTGGGTTGCCTTGATTTCTGACAATGGGTTGAGGCGATACATTCAAGAATGGATAGCACGGGGTTGGGTTTGTTTTTTGGTCTATGTTGAGGGGTCTGTGGTTAGCCAAAAATCAAGCCATCTTTAATAAAAATGTTGGGATTACTAAGAAGATTATGAGGCAGGCTTGAGATTTGCTATAGGATTTTGGGCAAGCAAAGGCGTGATACAAGGCCCTCGTCTAGGTCACATTCCACTACGATGGCCAGGGACGGAGCTACATAGGGTTTAGGGGCACGTGCCCTCTCATTTTTTAAAAATTACACTTTTATCTCTAATTAGATTTTTTTTTTATTGGACTCCCTTTAAATTTTTAAATATGTTTTGAAATGTTTGTATCTCATCTTTCTTCTCTTTTTCCTTTTAATAAATTCCTAATAATTTACCATTATAAATGTTTAATTTTATCAAAATATTCTCTTATAATTATTTCTATCTCTCTTATTTGTCTCTTGTTTTCCTCCACATTTATCTTTTTCTTTTTTTTTCTTTCTTTTTTTGTATGCATGTTATTACATTTTAAATTGTGATTATCATCATATTTAGTAATTAAAATAGCAAATAAAAAAACATCGGTTAATTAAAACATATCTAAGACACATAATTTTGACATCATGTTAATCTTTGGTCATTCTATCACTAAATAAAAATTAGATTTGGATAAGTTTTGTAATTGATATCGCAAAGGATTAATGGTGCCCCCCATGAATCACTGACGATGGCAACCTCCAAGTGTAGGTGTCTTCAAGCTCAATTTGATGGTGTTGTTTTTGGGCGAGAAAAAGCTATTGGGGTTGGGGTGATTGTTCGAGATCAACAGGGCAAGTGATTTGTGTATTATCAGAGAGGCTCCAACAATGGGTGGAGGCAGATTGTGCGAAGCTTGTGCGGCCGCAAGGGTAGTGGAGTTTGCCCAAGAGTTAGGATTGGGAATGATAGAGTTGGAATGCGACTCACTGAATATTGTGAAGGCTTTCCAAGAAAATGGACAATTGTTATCTCCTTTTGGACATATTATTCAAGGTGCGATTGGATTGAGTAGAGGATTTAAGAGATTCTATTGCTCACACATCTTAAGAGAATGAAATAAAGTTGCTCATGAATTGGCTCGAATGGCTCAACATGCACTTGGGTTGAAGGTTTGGATGGAAGAAGTTCCCTCTGAGTTATCTCATCTTGTTATGGATGAAACTTTGTAGCTAGTTTGGTTCTTGTTTAACCCATTTAAAGAAGAAAAAAAAAACTACTATTTAGGTTATTTATTTTCTTAATTTTATCCAATTACCAACTATCGTCCATATTTTAACAAAAACTAGCATCTAAGGACTATGTGGTATTAACTAATTGATCACTCATGTATACTTTTAATTGGGAGGTTAATGAGTCGAGGCTTGCTAAAGGTAAGAACTAATTTTTTTTCCTATTATGGAAATTTAGTTGTATTGAGTTGATTTCCTTCTATTAGGGAATGACCCTCTAATAATGTTAAGTTTCATGAAAGAAATATCATAAAAAAAAAATTATGAATTCTCCATTTTTGGATTAGTTTGTAGTGTTTTATTGTATATTATGCAATCACCTTTTGATTAGTTTAACGAAACTTTTCACGATATTTATTTCACGAACCGTAACATTACCCATGACCCTCCTCCATACCACTATCCTTCATACTCCACCAAACTCTATTTCATGATTCACATCCCAAGCCCATAATGATGATCTGAACAGTTAATCTTGTAGGCCCAACACTAAGGATGAGTTGTAGAAAAAATAAGTTTCATTAAACATCAATATGAACAAATTACATTTTGTTTCTCTTAAACGGATAGTAACTGTGAGTTTAAACTTAAACCGTCAATTTTATAAAAAAAAAAAATGATTTGTTCATATATTCATTGATATTCGACGAAACTGATTTTTTGCATATGTGATTTTCACTGTAAGGTTTACGATATGAACAGTTCGAATCATTGTTGTAAGCCCAAAGTGAGGCTTACAAAATGAATATAGGGATATAAAAGATATATAGTGGTATGGAAAAAAGTCAAGACTTATAATTGTCTATTGTAATTCTCTACATATATGTATACTAACATTTGGCACAAGTGACGAGTGCGTGTGCAATTCAAGTAGATACTAATATCACAATATGTAAATGTTTGCACCATATCTTATTATTATTATTATGCAGGAAAATCTTGGAGGTTAAAGAGAAGTTAAGACAAGTTTTGAAGACTTAAGGGATAGAAGACACATGGCATAATAAGAAAGAAGATGAAAGATTTATTAAGTTAAAAGTAGTTATTTAGGTGATGGTTATTGGAAGTTTTTTCCATCATTTTTTTCTATAAATTTTCATTAATGGCTCTATTGTAAGAAACCAACAAATCAATACATGACTTGATTTCTGTTTCTTTTCTATCCTAGGAGTAGATCTAATCTACATATGAGTAGTTTAAACTTAGGTACGAGTAGTCTTAATGTACTTATATTTGATTGTTCATTCAATCATTTACATCATCATCTTCTTCTTCTCTCTTTCTTGTTTGTATTGCCATTATTTTTATTCCAAGGAAGTCCTTGAACTTCCAAGGCATAAAACCTTAACACAATTGCTTGATCATTGTGTTGTTTGGTGAAATTTTGGTTAAGGCTCTATCGAACTAAGCCTAACAAAAATTTTACTAACAATTTTTAGCACACCCAATGGGACATCATCCTAACTTGGAGGGGGAAAAAAAATGATACAAACAAAAGGGTAAATTACACTTTGCCCCCTTAAAGTTTCACCTATTTCCCACTTTGGCCCTTTAAGTTTGATTTTTCCCACTTTGGCCTTTTATGTTTAATATCCTTCCCACTTTGATCCTTCATGTCTGCAATCATTCCCACTTTGGCCCTTTAAGTTTGATTTTTTCCCACTTTAATCCTTCATGTTTGCAATCCATCTCACTTTGGCCCTTCATGTTTGCAATCTTTCTGACTTTGCTCCTAGACTAACTTCCATCCAAAAAAGTAACAGAATTTGTCACATTACTAATACATCAGCTCCATATGTGATGTAAAAAATTCACTAAAGATGCAAAAAATAAAAAATAGAAAACAAAAAAAATTGGAATTTGTTTTTAGTCTTTAGTGAACTTTTTTTTTTTTGAACTCTTTTTCAAATTTATTCATAAACATTATTACATTATAGATGCATCTAGATTGGATGCAGCTAAAAAAAATAAAAACAAATTTAACTAAAAAAATAAAAAAGTTCACTAAAGACGAAAAAAACGATAGTAAATTTTTTATTTCAGAATTGACAATACAGGTGTTTGAGTCAGTATATTTTCATTTTTTTTTTGCTCTTTAATATACTTTTTTCTTTTTTTAGTTAAATTTGTTTTTATTTTTTTAGCTACATCTAATTTAGATGCGTCTATAATGTAATAAAGTTTATAAATTAAAAAAAAAAAAGTTCACTAAAGACTAAAAACAAATTCCAATTTTTTTTGTTTTCTATTTTTTATTTTTTGCATCTTTACTGAATTTTTTACTCCATACGTGGAGCTGATGTATTAGTGATATGGTAGATTCTGTTAGTTTTTTGGATGGAAGTTAGTCTAGGAATAAAGTGGGAATGATTGCAAATATGAACGGCCAAAGTGGGATGGATTGCAAACACGAAGGGCCAAAGTGGGAAACATAAAACTTAAAGGGGCAAAGTGGGAAGGATTACAAACATGAAGGGCCAAAGTGAGAAAAAATAAACTTAAAGGGCCAAAGTGGGAAATGGGTGAAACTTTAGAGGGGCAAAGTGTAATTTACTCCAAACAAAATATCAAAAAATTATGTCATCAAGTGGCATGTTTAAATCTTGTGCACCTATGGATGCAAACCACCAATGGAGTGGCAATGTGTCACGACCTAAAGCCGCCCCTATAGGTTTAGGGTCGTAACCGGCCAGTAATCCTAGGATTACCAAAGGCCTCTAAACAATTAAATAAAATGCAAGGGCTAACGGAAGCAAATACAAACATATAACGTCCATAGAGCTATGTAGACATATATGGGATTGAAAATTTAAAACTTAATTTACGTAGTTAAGACGTCATACCCACGTCACCATTCATACATACAGACAAACAAAAGGCTTGTTCAAACTTAACAAAAGAAATACAAAAAGATCTTTAACATGATTCACAAAAACTTGACCACTGCAAAACGGGAACCTCCTTGGAAGGCACTGTGACTAGCTGACAGAACGAAATTCTAGGCAATCAACTCTGAGCCTGGTCACACGCCTAATCACCTAGATACATACATAATAATATGGTGAGCTGGAGCCCAGTGAATAACAATAGAGTAAAGGGTTTATGAATGATGTCCAAACAGTTTCAGAAATCAAAGTTCATACCAGAAACAGATTCAGATTCATATATGTAACTGGAAGTCATAAGCAGTTATATGTGGTACATTAATTAGTGATCATATTATCTTGGTCCTAGGACCCATATGCATAGTCGGTACCGATGACCCCCAAAGGTCCATATCTTGTGCACAAGTAGCCATGGTATTGTTTCTCCCAAGCAAGGGCCATGTATAAACCATGGTATTGTTTCCCCCAGGCAAGGGCCTTATGATTGTAAGCCACAGTATTGTTTTTCCCGGGTGAGGGCCATGTGAACTAAGGATGCCACAAATAAATTTTAGAAAATCGAACATTCATTCATTTTCCGTAAATAGCAGTTCATAAACAGATCATATCTTATCATTCTGGAAATACTATAATCAAGCATAGCTTTACAGAGTTGTTTCTCACAGATAGCTCTAATAGCAAAAGAATCAGAACAGTTGGATCAATAATCTCTGGCACGTGACCTACACAAACATATAGCGAATACACATTGAAACACACGCTCGAAAAACACTCAACACATTCTTTTCTATCTTGGTGTGTTTCTAATCCTTATCCTCATTATTATGTCTTAATTAAGGCTTAAGAATGCCTAAGATGCAATAAGGATGCCAAAATGTAAGTTGAAACACTTAGTCAAATTTTCAAAAATAGGGCAGTCCGCTCGAGCGCAACATCGGTCGCTCGAGTAGTCTGCAAAGGCTGCAAAAGTACTGGTTACATGATTTTTACACTCGATGTCCGCTCGAGCACGAGATTGGATAAACAGGGTCTCCGCTCGAGCGTAACTTCCTACGCTTGAGTGATTTGCAAAAGTCTGTAAAACTTCTGGGTGCTCTCATTTTACGCTCAAGTGTAACTTCGGTCACTCGAGTGAAGGGTCAAAAATAAGGGTGGTCAATCAAGCGCAGGTTCTACAGCTCAAGCCAACCCCCAAACTCTACAAAAGTACTGCTAGCTCGCATTCTCCGCTCGAGCGCAGACTCCATCGCTCGAGCAGAGGGTGAAAATTCTAGAATTTCCAGATTGCTGATTCAAGTTCAAAACTCAATTTCAAATCTTCAAAACACATCATTTTGGGCCAAAACTTAGTAAAACATTGAGAAACTCATAGTATATGAAGAATTACAAACCATTTTGCAGAATCAAGCCTAAAAGTTTTGCCAATTGTACAAAACCAAACTTAAAACTTCCAAAACGTAACATGCATGTATTATCATAAACTCCAAGCTTTCAAAACATGATCAATTGAGGTCAAATGGTAAGAAATGTGCTGAATTCTTAAAACATAGCCAAGGTAAGGTCATACATGTGAAAATTCTTGAGTAAACATCTTAAAAACACCATGACATGTGCATGCATGCATGATTTGATCCTAATTCTACCTCTTTAGCCTAATTCTTGCATCTCTTAGCTCCATTATCTTAAATTCACGCATTAACCAACTCAAGTACAAAGCTAACGCCCTCAAATTAAACCCATAATGTACATAACATTAACATGCACTATTAAAAGAAAACGAATCTTTTGAATTGTTCATCAGAGTACTTTTATTAAAAGTCATTACATGGAACATCAAAATAAATGCCCTAAGGGCTTACATCTTTCCAAGCTAACACTTGGACACAAAAGAATGAGTACTAACCCATTTACAAGTTAAGCCCTTGGCTTGAATGTTTACATGTAATCTTATTTAAAATAAATAACTAAAGACAAGTCTTCAAAATCCAAATCCTTCCAAGCTAAGTCCTGGGAGGTAGCTTATCACCTGAACCTGAAAATGATGTTCCCATAAAGGGTGAGCCACAGCCCAGTACAAATATACTAAACCACATATATGCAATGAATAAAGTAATAGCATTCAACAGATGGTTAACCAAGATAATCAATTACTTCATTTTACAGCCTCATGACACTATTGTCTAAGATACGTTTTACTTTCCAACTTTATCAACATGGCTCAGAACCTGGCCAAACTTACAACAGTGAATTATATATATATCATATTCACATTCTTCCAATATCAACAAACAAATGAGACTCAAGCTCAAATCAAAACACTTCATACTTCCAGATTGATACACATTTTAGTGTTCTACTGCCTGTTGCCAACATAGTGGCATGACAAATGAAATGGAAATAATAATTCGACATTGTGAGGATAGAATTTATTGGTACAAGAGTGAAATTTTGGCCCTACAAAAAACAATTAATTCTCTTGATTGCAAAAATTTCAAATAATTTCATCACCACCATATTATTTGATGCAAAAAGATATTGTTGGAAAATTTGGTTTTATAGGCTTATTTTGGGCCATTTTGAGCCCAAATTTAAGTAGGGAACCTACGTCTTTTGAGGTGGGTCCAAGTGGTGACATGTTCCTTACAGCATGGTAAGTCACACGGTGAAGACGGTTCGTCAAAACCATTTATGGGCGAATGGAAAGTTAACGTCGTTTTTGGTTTCGTGAAATAGGAAGTTAAAGAGACAAATGTAGGTTACCTTGATTTGGTTGTCCCACATAGAAACAATAAGAGAGTTTGTATAAGTATATAAGCTATAGGTTGATATACTTGGGATGGGCCCCAAGGGGCATCCCAAGTTTTGTAAGGAGGGGAGTCATGGACAAAGTGGGTTTGACCCAAATCTACTACACACGCACTGTCGCTGTCCAGCCAAATGCAGGTGCATGGTGTGGGTTGGGTCCTAACTTTAATTTTTTTGGCCAAAATTCATTTGAATTTTTTCAAATTTATGCTGGAAAATTTAAATTCCTAGCGAATTAATTCAAACTTTTGTGCCAAAATTCGAATTTAAATTTTTGCTTCCCAAAACAGTGCCACTCCGGTCGCCTCTCTTCATTTTTCGGTGTTTCAAGATTTCACACATTTTTGAAAGGTTTTTTGCCCTTCTGAACAGACACCTCTTTGCCTATAAATAGAGGATCCTCCAGCATACTCAATTAATCGATTTCCTTTTCGTTTTTCTTTCTTTCCTGCATCTGTTTTTCATATTAGTTTATAGAAATTTAAAGAGTGCAGAACTTAGGTTCTAGCTTGCAAGACAGATTATTTGTAGTGCTACTACAATCTGTGATATTGATCATTGTATCTTGGGAAATAGAAGCCAATAATCCCTTGGGAGATAGACGCCAATAATCCGTGAGCACCTATGCGGCAGTGAATGTGTCTTAAGGACAAAGTGTCACACACTCGACTTGATCGTGTTTTTGATGTTCTAGCTTTTCGGTACAAGAAGTTCCTGTAAGTAATTTATTTTCTTTGTTTGAGTTTTATTTTATACACAAAAGATTGTTCCAACAATCTTAAGATAGAGTTGAATTATTCTATTTATACTGAATTTTTTGTTTGTTTCCTTTTCAAAAAATTTTTTGGTTTTTATTATAGAACTTATTTTCTGAGTGAAGTTTTCATAATTTAATTATGAATTTTTAGAAATAATGTTTTGTTTTTTCATTAATTAAAATTCTAATTTTCAGTATTTTAATTTTTGAAGTTTTACAAAAATAATATTCTATGTGGAATTAATTTGATTAAATAAAAGTTTATTTTCAAAGTAATTTGAAATAAAAGTTACAATTTTGTTTCTTTTATTTTTTACAAAATTATATTATGTGGGTTTAATTTTCTGTGTAGTATAAAATTCTAATTATAATTCTGTTTTATAATTTAGAATTCATGACTATTGAAACTGCTCAAACCTCTAATTCGATCGATGTTGCGACTGCCCCAATCTTTCCTACTATTGTGACAATGCCGGTGAATCATGGGGAAAAATCAGAAAAGTTATTAGGAACTGACTTTAAAAGATGACAGCAAAAAATTATATTCTATCTTACTACTTTTAAATCTGGCACATTTCCTTCTGAGGATGCTCTTGTTCTGAAAGAGGATGAAACCAACCGACAAGTAGTTGCTGCAGTCGATGCTTGGAAGCATGCAGATTTCCTTTGTCGCAACTATATCTTGAATGGGCTTGATAATACATTGTACAACATTTATAGTCCTATCAAGATGGCAAAGGAATTATGGGAGTCATTGGAGAGAAAAAACAAAACAGAATATGCCAGTTCGAAGAAATTTTTGGTGGGCAAATTTCTAGATTTTGTGATGGTTGATTCAAAGACTGTGATCAGCCAAGTTCAGGATCTCCAACTTATTCTGTATGACATCCATGCAGAAGGCATGCCACTAAGAGAGTCCTCTCAAGTTACTACCTTAATTGAAATATTACCACAAGAATTGAAGAAATGCAAGAACTATCTCAAGCACAAATACAAAGAAATGACTTTGGAAGAATTAATTGTGCGATTGAGAATGGAGGAAGACAACCGAACTTCTAAGAAGAGGGTTGGCAAACATCCTATGGAGTCAAAGGTTAATGTGGTGGAACATGCACCAAAAGTGAAGAAATGAAAATTTATCAGAGAAAGTTCCTTACAAGGCTCTAAGGAAGGGGACACCAAGAAGTTCAAATTTAATGGAAAATGCTACATCTATGACAAAGAGGGACATCGAGCCAAAGATTGTCGTAGCAAGAGCAAAGGTAAAGGAAGTTCAAGTAAGAAACCTGCTCAAGCCAATGTCACCGAAGTGGACCAAATCTCCAATGGTGTTGATGACATAAACCTTTCAGCCGTTGTCTTTGAGGTCAACCTTATCGGAAATCTCAAAGAATGGTTGGTGGACACTGGAGCCACTCGTTACATCTGTGCCGACAAAAAGAAGTTATTCTCCTATTCTGTGGTAGACAATAAAGAACAACTGTTCATGGGCAACTTCTCGATTTCTAAAGTCGAAGGATAAGGAAAGGTTATTCTAAAGATGACATCTGGAAAGGAACTCACCCTTAACAATGTGTTGCATGTACTGGACATTCGTAAGAATCTTGTTTCCGGATCTCTGTTGAGCAAAAATGGGTTCAGGTTTGTTTTTTAGAGTGACAAATTTATACTTACCAAAAACAGGATGTATGTAGGAAAATGATACATGACTGATGGCCTTTTCAAAATGAATGTAATGACTGTTGTACCTTCTATGATTAATAAAAATATATCTTCTTCTTACTTACTCGAGTCTTCAAATTTATGGCATGATAGATTAGGACATATTAATTATGGATCTTTGTGTAGATTAAATAATATGGAATGTTTACCTAAATTTGAAATTGATCCAAATCATAAATGTGAAATTTGTGTTGAGGCAAAATTAACTAAAACTTCTTTTCATTCAATTAAAAGAAGTACTAAACCACTTCAATTAATTCATAGTGACATTTGTGATTTTAAATCAATTCAAACTAGAGGTGGGAAAAAATATTTTATCACTTTCATAGATGATTATAGTAGATATAGTTGTGTTTATTTAATTCAAACTAATGATAAAACTTTGGAAACTTTCATTCAATATAAGAATGAAGTTGAAAATTAACTTGGCAAGAAAATTAAAATTCTAAGAAGTGATAGATGTGGAGAATATGAATCACCATTTGGTAATTTTTGTGAAGAACATGGAATAATTTATCATACCACCGCTCCTTACTCACCATAGCAAAACGAAATTGCTAAAAAGAAAAATAGGACTTTAAAAGAAATGATGAATGTCATGTTAATAAGTTTTGGATTATCTCAAAACTTGTGAGGAGAAGCAATACTTTCTACTAATTATATTCTTAATAAAGTACCCCGAAAGTTGAATCAAACACCATATGAAATGTGGCATGGAAGAGTACCATCCTATAAATACTTAAAAGTATGAGGGTGTTTGGCTAAAGTGGCTATTCCTAGTCCTAAAAAGACTAAAATAGGTCCGAAAATCGTTAATTGCATATTTATTGGTTATGCCAAGAATAGTAGTGCATATAACGGTTTAGACCCGACCCATTTCATGCTCTTAGATCTTGGGTTCCATACCTTTAATAGTTGTTCATACCCTTTATCATCTTGTTAGTAGTTGAGTTGAGTTGTTGGTTATGTTTGAAACATGTTAGGAGTTGGTTTTTCAATAGAGTTGTTGACCAGTTTTCTTCTTGTTCACTCGAGCAGTGGTTTGGTTACTCAAGCAGTCTTTGAGATCTCCTAGCATTTTTGCAAGTTTGCAAAACTTCTAGGAAAAATATATTCCATGCTGCCATGGATATGATACATTATGCTGTCTCTGGCACTGCTATATGTTCTGCATAAATGCGACACACCAAATTTTCGTGTCCCAACTAAGTCCAAAAAATTGTAAAAGTGGAATACATAATTCTAACTCTATTGAAATGAAACTAGAAGCCATGGTATGGACTACAAATAGATAACATAATGAAATTAAAGACAAAGGAAATTTTGTCTGCCAATTACCTGGAATTGAAGCAACAGCACAGGAAAAATGAAAGATCAAGAGAAAAGGCACCGTCTAGCTCGGATTGTGAATGAAGAACCTGGAAAAAAAATATTTTTGTGTGAGTTGGTGACAAGGATGAATTAGAGAACTAATGTATTCCTAAATTAAAAGTGAACCATCACAACCTACAGAGTAGATTTTGATTGTCATCCATAGGTGAGCATGGAAGACCATGAACCTAGTGACTAAGATTTTGGATGATTGATAAGCTCCACATCTTTAGAGATTGTCACTTATACGGTTTGGGAGAGAAGCATTGTTGTCTTTTAAGGATAAAAAAATTCTTCAATCTTCCAGCTATTCATTCTAAGCAAGACCCTAAAATTTGAAACTCAAAATTTATGCATAAGCTTATCATCAGTAAATTTCAATTTACTAAAGCTAGAACCTGAAATAACTCGAAATTACAATGATGGTAACAATAGAAGAATTATGTTTGAGTGAGTTACTATCGTGAAGAGTATCAAAAAATGATGCTATACTTTTTAATAGACTCCAAAAAACCAGATTTATAAAGTTCAAAGCTTGTATATCATTTTTTTTCTCTTCAGAATGAGATGGAATGCATGTTAAATGCACAATAGTAAAATAAAGATTCTCTTAAGGTCCTAACAAAAATGCAAACTCCAAATATAATTGAAACATGGTGCAGAAGTAAAATTTTTCCTTCCATTCAGGTACTTGTAGAACAAAAGTGCAAGGATTCTATTGTTTACTTAAACATGGATGAATTAATGTGGGAACAAGTAGAATTTTAGAAAAATGGTAGTTGATTATGCATGAATTGAGCTCAGGGTGAGTAAAAATTGGGGAACAAACTTGATACATAAACTTGAAACCAAACAATCATCAATAGTCACCCCTTTGACAGAATATTTGCTAAACCTAGAAAAAATTCATCTCTTATGCTTTGTTTGTTTTGGCCGAAAATGCTTTTTGGAAAAATGTTTGTCACATTTTATGGAGGTTAGTATGATAGAAAATGAAAGTTAAATGGAAAATGTTTTCTATGGTCAATAAAAAATAAGCCTTTTGAGTGAAAAATGCTTTACACTTTTGAAGGTGAAATTTTTTTCCCGAAGTGTAAAACATGTTTTGGTCTAAAGTCTTGCCAACACTACCACCACCACCACCATTGTTGCTGCCACCCCCCCACTCCAACTAGTGCCACCGCTAATGCAACCACTAGTACATTAGTTTCAAGTTGCATCAAACATAGGAGATCATTTTCTAGAGAAAACATTTTATAAAAAAATACGTTGCGTTTGGTTTACTTTTGGAATTGTGGTTCTAATAAAAAAATTTCAAAACTTATAACTAAACACACAACTCAAAACTCAATTCAAAAACAATTTTTAAAATTCATAACACACAATTCAAACCTCTTTTCAAAAGTCATAACCAAACTCTTTTCAAAACGAATAGGGCACTTTTTCCATCAGCACCTATGAATAATACAAGATAAAATAACAAATGAGAATGAAAATTAAGAGAAAAGGAGATATTTGCAAGGAAAAAACAAAGAATGAATTGAAAAACAGAGCAGTGTGTTTAACAATAATTAATCAGTAATGTATTGGTAATTTCAACATTCACAACAAACTGGAACTCTCTTACGTTCCAAAAGAAGTAGATAGTAAACTCAGAGTTGTGCTAAAATCTGAGATGATATTGGTAATGAGAAAATAAATAAATAAAAATGGTATGATAGATGTTGTGTTTGCTTGTTTGTACCTTGCAGTTGGCCTATGATCTTGTAGAATAAATATATCTAAAGCTAAGACTCTCATTCCAAACATTTTTTAATATTTCATGTTTTGGAGTTTGCCGGAAGATTTTTGGAGTGGCAAAGTAGTGAGGATTTCTCGCTAGTGTATGCTAAGATACTTTAGTCTTTGGTCAACCCCATCCCGAAAAGAACCCAATTTTATCAAAGATAAGAGAACTATTTGTTAATATTAGATGAACTGCCTTTTATGTTTTCTTCTTATTGTTTTCCATATGGCCCTCTTCATGACAAGTCTAAACAGATCAACATGTAAATTTAAACAAACAAACACAAAAACTCTATACGGTATACCAATTTCTAATAGTTTCCTATATTTTTTTGAATATTTGCCTTGGATTTGAATTCTAAATAATACTCCAAGTAGGGTAGATGGCTTCTCAACTCCCCTTTAATAAAGGAAGCCTAAATCTCTCCAACTACTAGAACAGATTGCCCACATGGATTTTGACAAGATTACGTGTGGCTTTGTAACTGTCAAATGTAATCCAGCATGCAAGCAGGATGGTTTAAAAATACAACTTGATAGTAAAAAAAAATTCCCTTCTTGCAAGGCATGGAAGTCTTAATGATAAAAAATCTTGCATGACAATGTGAGTTGATCAAACCATAGTAGCAGGAAACTCTTAATTTGGTGATGTTTCTTACTAACTATGACGCACGGGTACGAGTACGAATACTAGTAGTGGTACGATATGTGTATGTTGATATGGTAAAATCCCAAAAAAGTTGGGTACGGGTACGGTTTGGTACGCTTATAAAAAAAAATATTTATTTTTAATTTAGAGTAATGTTGAAATTAATTAAATGGTTTAATTTGTTAAGATCCAACATATAATTAACATTTAATGCCAAAAATAAACGTATAAATCAAAATTAAATGTCAATATATTACATAACTTACAAACCATAGTTTAATTTTAAAATCATACTAACCATAAAGCTAAAAATAAAAACAAATTCTAGTGAAATGAGTTTTATCTATGTAGTAAAAGAAAATATTGTTTCAACTAAGGTACGGTACGGTTTAGGTATATACTAGATACGTCTGGGTATGCCAAAAATTAAGAAGAAAAATTTTGGATACGTGTTTTGTATACTTGGTACGTATATAGAAGTATCAGGCGAGGTACCATTCGCCAGTAAGTACTCAGTACGGGTATGACATGCTTTCTGAAATACCCATGCTTCATAGCTTACTAAGAAATGCAATTCCGCGCTTTCAAATAAGAAACCAGCAAAAAACTCGCTCATTTCTAGGAATAAACTCGCTTTCAAGTGAGATCGAATCTCTCAAGCATACAAATTTTAAAGAAATAAAAGAAAAACAACTCAAACTTATTATAGTACTTTCTATTTACATAATGTTTATTTATACTTAATAAAGACAATTTGTAGTTGATATCAATCTCCAACAAAAATTCATATTTTAACAAATATATTACAACTAACTAAATAGAAAAAAATAATTTTTAGAATATAATTATATATTTAATAATCTAATATATAAAATATATACATGCTCCAATAAAAGTATGACAGATTTTGTGTTTGCTTGTTTGTAAGTTGAAAAGTTGTTTGATAAAAATTTAAATGTTAAACTAAAACAAATTATTTGATATGTATAAGATCAAATTTTAAATTCAAAGTTTAAATTTAAAATTTATTATTTTTAATTGTACTTTTTTAATTTTTATATTGTGATGGTAGAGGATGCAAATATAAATAAATCCTCATTTGTGATAAAAATCTGAAATTGGTAATGATAAAATAAATAAATAAATAAAAATGGTAGGACAGATTTTGTGTTTGTTTGTTTGTACCTTGCAGGTGGCTGCTTATATTTCCCAACCTACTTGAGGAATGTATTGGATGATGGGCCAATATTCTTTTCCCTTTTCACACTTCTGTTTCAGTATTGGATTACATCCCACGATCCACAGTGACAAAAGCGAGGGAGGGAAGCCTTGTTCTGGAAAGGTCGCAAGCTCAGGGCAGCCAGAGATCCATAGATGCAAAAGAGAGGGAGGCAACCCTTCCTTTGGAAAGGACGCGAGCTTAGGGCAAACCATGATATAAAGTTCTTCGAGAGAGGTGAGGTTTTGAAACTCCTCATAAGAGAGTCTTTCCAGATTTGGGAAGCTGTCGATGGTCAAATTGATGAGAGAGGTGGGCAGGAACATCCCTTCTTCTGGAAAGGACACCGTATCTCCCCACGGCCAACCTCCGCCATCAAGGTGGAGTGTTGTAAGAGAAGAGAGTTTGTGCAAACCCCACTCTAATGGAGATGGAGGCGGAACTGGAAGTTGACCCACTCTCAAATTCCCGATTTCAAGTGAAGTGATGTTGGTGGGGAAACTCCCTTCCTTCACAAAGTAGGAGACCATTTCTGCTCTGCAATAAACTAAACACAGCTTTTGAAGCGAAGTGAGCTGGTTGATGTTGTTATTCTCATCACGACCACCAAGTGACAGGGGCTCCAGATTAGGACAACCTTCTATCTCCAATTCACTGAGATTCCTCAGATTATTGGCTTCAGGTAAAGATTTGAGACTCCCACATAATTCAACACAAATAGTTTCAAGAGATGGACAATCAATTTTGATCCCTTCCTCTGCAAAAAGTGACTCCAGATTTCTGCAATCTTTAATCTGAAGTTGTTTTAGTGTGGATGGTAGCCCACCTCTTGACAATAAATATGTGAGTGATGCACAGTGAGAAACCTTCAACTCTTGCAGATTATTGAGTGTCATCAACTCGGGTAGGGACTCCAAAGCATGACAACATGAAACCTCAAGTTCTCTCAGCATAGATGGCAAACCTTTCATTGGAAAAGAGATCAGACTCTCACAACTGTAGATTTTAAGCACCCCAAGAGATGTGTAGGTGTGAAGATCTTGTGGCAGTTTCTTCAGCATTCCACACTTTTCAATTGTTAAGTACTCGAGTCTCGCCGTCATGCAAGGCAGCCCCTTATTCCGCCACAATGTTATGAGTTCTTGGCAGTTAGTAATGTCCAATTTCTTGAGTTCCCTCAAATCTCGAGTAAACCATGTCGGTAGGAATGCCAGTTTTTCAACATGAGAAATGCTCAAAGCAATTATTGAAGTCAAATGCTTAGACATTGCATTAGCAAGTAACTCTGCATCAGTTGTGCTTGGATCACACAGGGAGTCGGGAACTGTAACATGGCTAATATCCAAGGTGAGGGATCCAAGTTCAATCATGTTCTTCGCCCCTAAGAGTGCTGGAAGGCTTGGGAGCATAACATTATTCATTGACAAGGACACAAGTGATGGCTGAACGAGGCTCGAAACATCAATCAACAACTGCGGACAACCATCAATTTTGAGAGAATTGAGACAAGGAAGATCATTCGGTAATCTTCCAACAAGTTTGGGACAATTTATGATGGAAAGCTCACTGAGATGACCGAACGGCTGAACTCCCTCATTTTCAAAAGCAGACCAATCCTCCCATTCTGGCATAAACTTAAAGCTCAGCCTCTCTAGAGAGGGGAAAGGTTTGGCACCACACTGCTGCCCATAGAACTCACAACCCACGCACTTTATTGCACTCATTCCTTCAATGTAAAGGTCTTTAAGCAAGGGTAGTTGTCCAAGTGGTGGCAAAGATATGCAATATTTACTACCTTTTAATCGCATGAACACCATTTTAGAGTATGAAACATCTCCAACCCAGTTTGGAAATTTTGTACTGCCATACCCAATGATGGTGAGTCGTTCCAACAATTTGAAAGGTCTCATCACGTCAAGCACATCCCTCTCAACTATGTCATTCTGCGAACGGTGAGATTCATCCCATTCTAGCGATAACTCTTTTAACTCCTCCTTAGACATAAAATTGGCATCCCTTGCATCCTTAACACCACCGACATTCTCCAATCTTGATATGTGTATTGCCCCTCGAATGTTCGATAGGTTTTTCAACTCTCCTATTTTACGCCCACAATCTTTACCCACCATAAAATTTGACAATGTTTGGAGACTAGTTAATTTACCTATATGTGGCGACATCTCTTCTGATGATGGAATATTCACGCCAGTCATGTCAAAATGGCGCAAGTTCACCAACCTCCCTATGTTTAGAGGCAACTTCTGAAGTCGAGAACAAAATTTCAAAAACAAGACTTGTAAATTGTAGAGAGTTACCACTGTGTCAGGCAACCTTGTAATCCCAGAATAGGATACATCAAGGTACCGCAAGTGCTTTAGATCTCCAATGGAATCTGGTAGTTCATCCATCCTAGCACAATGTAAACGCAACTCACGTAAGCATTTTAACTTTGGCAACAAATCATGAAACAAGTACCTCGATGCATGCCTACTCGGTGGCAAAAACTGTAAGAATGTTCGTAAGCATTTGGCATCATCAAAAACTTTAAATTTTTTGATTCCTTCATAATTGCTACCAACATAAGATGAATGTCGAGCTTTGTCCGAAATCTTGTTATGCCTGCCATACTCCAAATTATTCTTGAACCTAAAACATTTGTCTCCTGCGACATTTTGAGCCAAATCATTGATGAGGTCATGCATTATGAAGTTCAATTTGTTACCACTTGACGGTTGAAAAAATGATCTTGATACCAATTCGTGAAAATACTTGCGGCCTAAATCTTCCATTTGCTTTCCACCTTTTGGTTGCTTAATTAAACCTTCAGCCATCCATAGCAAGACTAATTCCTCCTCCTTGAATTCGTAGTCCATTGGGATAATTGCACAGTAAGAAAAGCACCTCTTCAAATGGGAAGGGAGATGAAGGTAGCTCAATTTCAATGCTGAGAGAATGCCACTTTCCTCATTCCATATGTTGCTATTTAGTATTTTTTTCCATTCACTCTCTGCTTGTTTACATCGTAATAAGCTGCCAAGGGCCCTAGCTGCCAAGGGCAAGCCTCCGCACCTATGCTTAACAATTTTCTTCCCAATTGATACCAATTCTGGGCATTCGATGATATTTCTATTCTCAAATGCATGATGGGCAAAGATTAACCAACAATCATCATATAATAAGTTTTTCAAATTGAGATATTCATCCATACCCATCTGCTTTACAACACCTCCTTGTCGCGTTGTCACAATGATTTTACTTCCAGGTGCTCCGGCGTCAAATGGCAATCGTAGCGAATTCCACCCATCATGTCCATAGTGCCACACATCATCCAGAACAAGCAAAAACTTTTTTTCTGCCAGTGTGTTTCTTAGTTGGACTTGAACCTCATTTAACTTGCCCAAGTCACATGGACGGTGAGTGAATGACTCAAGAATTGCCTTTGTTGTTCCCAGAATGTCGAAGTCAACAGAAACACAAACCCATGCTTTCATATTGAAATGCTTTTCCACTTTGTCGTGATCATAAATGTGCTGAACTAGTGTAGTCTTGCCGATCCCACCCATGCCTACAATAGGAATTACATCAAACTTTTTTGCAGTAGGTGCATCCCCAAGTAGCAATTCGATAATTTGCTTCATGTCTTCATCTCTGCCATGAATATGAGGCTCCTTCAAACATGTAGTTTGTGATCTCTGCCATAGATCTGTAGGCATCGTCCCATCAACTCTTTTATCTAAACCAAGATCTTTTCCTTTTGTAGCAACTTCTTGTAATTGACTAGTAATCTCATTTAGCTTAAACCCATTTTTTAAATTGAATGGAACAATAGAAGAGAGGCGTGGAAACTTAGCTGGTCTTCTTCCCATCGTCGTCTCCTCCGCCATTAGCTTCCTTTCGAGAGCTTCAGTGGCAAAATCATCCAATAAGTCATCTGCATCGTAAGCCAAAGGTTGAACCTCTTCTAGCCACTTTTTGATATCCTTGTCGTAGACTTGTTTGTTCTCTGCATCAGCCAACAGAGTCTCTAAATCCTCCAATGCCTTCTTCAGATTCTGGATGCCAGTGCCAACGTCCGCTGTGCTCACTAAGTTGATTAAATAAGAGGACAATTTATCAACCGTAGCTTGCACAAATGGAGAGATAAAGATCCCAAATACGTCCATGGTGTTGGTTCTGAAAGAAGGAAAGGTAATGAAACCAAGCAAAACAAAGATTAAAAAAAAAAACAGGTCGAACAACTTCTGCAAATTTTAAACAACTTTGGTATGTAGGTGAGGGATAAGAAAGGTAAGAAAGGAAGCAACACAGAAATGGAAAAACAAGCTGAAAGAATAACTTTGGTAGGTAAAGGTTGTAAACTCAATACAAACAAAGCACTGCATACATCAAAAACATGGTCAATACTCAATACAAGTAGACCCCAAAATATGTTGAGAAGAAGAAAAAAAAAGATGAATATGTTGAAGCAATTAATTATAGAGTAATTTAATAAAATAAAAGGAGAAGAAAAGAAAGGAATTAGAATGAAGGGCATTTACACACGAGTCTTAATTTATGAATTTATATTCTATGAAGTCATAATTAAGATGCTTTGGACCTTCAAATCCTACTAAATTTTTAATAAGAAAAATGATTTGGACCTCTAAAAAAACACCTCTAATGCACCTCTAATTTGTCTTTTTCTTCTCCTATTTTTGTCTTTTACTTCACTTTTTTTTATTTTTTTATTTTTTTATTTTTTTATTCCCGGACAGCTCATTAGAGCTGTATGGAATGACCTCTAATTAGAGGTCTCTAGCAAGATTGTTTTAATAATTAGAATTACCTTTCAAATAATGATTGTTCATCATTTATGATTATCTATAAAAAAAATATGATAATTTGACATTTATTTTAATTTTTAAAACTTTAAAACATCAATTTCAAATTGAAAAAAGTAAAAAAAAAAAAATTATGTAAATTTTTTGAAAACACTTTTAAGAAAATTCTACTTTATTGTTTTCCGTATTTTTTTGTTTTTACTAAATTTTTTTCATATTTTAAGCAATTTTTTAAATTTTTAGACACACTTAACATAAATACACTTAAAAAGTATAATTTTTGTGAATTTTTTTTTTAAAAAAATCACTAAATACCAAAAATACAAAAAAATTAGTATATTTTTTGTATTTTTGTGTATTTATTAATTTTTAAAATATATTTTTACAAATATTTTACTTTTTAGATACATCTCAGTAAGGTGCATCTAAAAAAGTATAAAAAAAAATGCTTAAAATTTTAAAAATATTCACTAAAAACAAAAAATAAAAATAAAAAATAAAAAACTAAATTTTTAAAAAACTTAATTCAAAAAACTGAAACCAAACACACTGAATGTTTTTTTTTTTTTTTGAAAAATTTGAAAAACTGAATTATTTTTTTGAACAAAACTGAAAATTTTGTGTCTCTAAAGGAGTATGATGATGGAACATTGATGTGCAAAACTAAAAATAAAAATAAAAAATTTAAAAATGAAAAAACTGATAATGTTCTCAGTTTTAAAATTTGGAAAAAACTAATAATATTCTTGGTTTTATTATATAGTTGAATCAAACCAATAAGTAGAAGGGCAAAATCGTTTAATCTCATACTCTGTTTTTTTTATCAGTTAGCGAAACAATTATATGGAACATTACTATGCAAAATTGATAATGTTCTTAGTTTTAAATATTGAGAAAAACTGCTAATATTCTGAGTTTTACTAAATAAAACTTATTTGTTCAAAAAATCTTAAATAGGATTGTACAACAAGGGTAAACCCGGGATCGCTATACTGTTTTTTTTATCAGTTAGCGAAACAATTATATGGAACATTACTATGCAAAATTGATAATGTTCTTAGTTTTAAATATTGAGAAAAACTGCTAATATTCTGAGTTTTACTAAATAAAACTTATTTGTTCAAAAAATCTTAAATAGGATCTGAACTACCATATCATTTATAAATAAGACTTTTGAATAATTAACTCTAGAATAAATTATTTAATAAGAAAATTATATAAAAGTTTACTTTCTAAACCCAATAATGTGTACAAGATATAATTGACAGGTGATTAGAGAAAGATATGAGAGAGAATTTCTTTAAATATCCTAATTAATTGTCAAATCATTAAATTTAGGGTAAATTACACTTACACCCCCTGAGGTTTGAGTTTAATACATATCACCCTCTAACGTTTGGAAAATTACACTAACCCCCCTGTCATTGTAATTATTTAGACGGAATGAAGACATTGAACTCATGCACTCTCTCTTTTTTTGCTTTGCTTTGCTTTACTTTCTTTTTTTTTTCTCCTTTCCTTTATTTTTTTTTAAATGTAATTTCCTCTATTTTTCTACTAGGAGTTGTTACCTTTTATATAAGCAAGGGGATTTGTAAAATGAGACTATTAACCACAGGGGTGGAAATGTAATTTCTAAAATGTCAAGGGATGAGTAATAATTAAACCAAATTTCAAAGGGTGTCAATGTAATTTACCTTTAAATTTAACAAGTAGTAAGTCTTCTAACTTTATCTTAGGTTTTAATATAATCTTTTTTTAATTCTTCCATGTAAGCACTTTAACTTTGCTTTTGCTTCAATGTAACTATTTATTTTTTATTTTTTATATTTAAATCTCTAACTTTAACCATTTGAGAAATTTATTTATAAATCTCATTAGAGGACTTGTAACCCCATCAATTTACAAAGTATTCTTGTGTTCCACCTAATCTTATACATTTGAACTTATACTTCAATAGATCTGTTATCCTTTATTAGAAGTATTATGTGAACTATTTTATCCTTATGGACTTTTATTATAATATATATATATATATATTATACTATATATCTAAGAGCAAGAAAATCATTTATTAGATATCTTTTATTTATGATATATATAAAATAGAAAAAATTAGTGATAAATCCAATTTATGGAGGGTATAATGTATTAGATTCAGTAGATGTTTTTTATTGGTGAGAGGTCCACCATTTGTGAAATAGTTTGGTGAGAAGTCCTTTTGTTATCCTGGGAAGACATTTTGTTTTTAATTTTACCCCTTAATTTATCTGTTGACTTTTTTTTATCTGTTGACTTTTTTTTTTTTGCTATATGTTGAAATTTATATTTATCTGTTCAAATTGAAGGTCCATTTTCCTATCTATTTGAAATTTCACAAACTTGTTTTCTATCTGTTAAAATTATCCACTGCAACAAAAACAACACACCAACAGATAAAAAAAATAACAACACACCAACAGATTAAAAAATAGCAACACAAAACAAATAAAAAAAATAACAATTTTATAGATATGAATAACTAAATCCAAAATATATCTGTTCAACAAAGAAAAACAATTATCATTAGAGAGGGATGATTAACAACAACAACAATAAAGAAAAAAAAAATTATCTTTTTTGTTTTATCTGTTCAACAACAACAACCAAGAAAAAAAATTATTTTGTAACAACATATCTGTATTCTAGGGTTTTTGTCCAACAAATCTATATTCTAGGTTATTTTGCAATTAAAATGTATTTGGCCTCACAGTCATCTTGAATGCCAAACTCTGGGTGACCAAAGACCTCGCCAAAGCAGATCTAGCGATACCTGATTACACAGATCACATGAATGCAACAAACTAAACTGTAAACCCAAAATTATGGGATTACTTGGATCTTTATACACATGTTGATATGCACCCTTCGAAATACTCATCTAATGTATCTATACTACATCTAGGCAAACATCTAAAGACCCTGTGAGGAAGGATTTGTTGAGGTTTGAGAATGAATAGGTTGAGATATTCAGTGTTGACGAACACCGGATAGAGTGTTACTCGTCAGAGTTGACTTCTATCGCCAGAGTTCGCCATAAACCATGAAAGGGAGAGTCGGTGCGGCAGTTGATCGTCTTAGATCAGGTTTCTCTACAGATGAAGACCGAGAGTAGATAAGAACCTTGAAATGCTATGTACCAACGCCGGAGCAAGCTAGTGTGACATCATTTTTGAAAGATCTAGATCTACCACCACCGCCTCCTCGTTTATCGCCGTATGAGAGTATAGCACTGACTTCGCTAGACAGATCGAACGTTGGTGGCAAAGAGTTGTTTTGAATATTCTTCTTTAGGCCTTCGGCGGCGGAGGACGAAAAAAGAGGAGGAGGAGGAAGAGGAAGAGGTGTTGCGATAGTTCGCTGGTGGTGCAATGCAATCGAGAGATCGAGCAGCGACTCTAACGACTTAGGTGACTCCACCAACTACAATACAGAAAGAGAGAGAGTTAGGGTTTGAAAAGCGCGCACGCGCGTGAGAGAGAGAGAGAGAGAGAGAGAGAGAGAGAGAGAGAGAGAGATGGGGTTAGGGGCATGTTGGTTATTTTGTTTAAGTTTGTCCTTTTGGAGAAAGTACTTTAGCGCTTGGACTTTTGACCAAACAAAATTGAAAATTGGACTTTTCACCCAAGTGCCCTATTAAATATTGTATATAAATATAGAAGATTATTATTCTTACTGTTTTGTCTGCCTCAGTGTAAGGGATTCACTTTTATCAAAGATCTTCTTTCCCATTATTTTACAATAAGCTTCTGTTATGGAAGAACATTTAGAAGAGAAGGTTAGTTGTACATATAGACGAATGATAGAGATTGTGGTGGATTCGCAATAGAGATGATGGTAAATCGACGATGAACAATCGTTTTTTGCCATTGTCATACATAAATCATAGTCTCTCTGTCGGTTTGTGTAGTCATCGATATTGTGTAGTTTATGTACTAATATTATGCCGGAGTTTATTATATACAGGTTTTTCTAAAAGGTGCATCAATATATATATGAACTATTTGGTGATTTTTTATATATTGTTTGGTGATTAGTTGTATATTATGGGTGTTTGGAAAATTGTTATTTTAGTAAGCTAAAATTGTTGTGTTTAGGAAGATGATTGGACTTTTTTGTAATTAGATGTGATGTTTGTGAGAGAAAAAGTGAAATGATTATGGATTGTATGTGACATTTTGTTTTATTAACTATTTTAGCATATTTTGACTTTTTTGTGAATTTTAGCCTAAAAGAGGCTAAGGCTGTGTTTGGAGAAGCTCTCCAAATACATCTTCACCCATTGATTTCAGTGTGGTATTTGTTTTGAGTTTTCAAATTATAATTCCACACCCATTTTTGAAAACTTCTTTCCAGGCGGGAAAATTTGGCTAACCCGGTTGTCTCTTGAACATCCGGCCAGTTGACCGGAATAGTGTTCGATTTTTATTTTTATTTTTTATTTTTTTTGCACCTGTTATTAATTTATTTTAAATAAAAAATATTTTCAGAAAATTTTTCAAAATTTTTATGAGCTTTG